GTTGATGTCCGATGGATCTTGGCTGAAAGCAGAGAATAACAGAAAGATGTTTACCTGTGCTTTATTGACTATGCAAAAGGCTTTCGATTGTGTGGATCATAACAAGCTATGGACAACATTGTCAAGTATGAGTATTCCAGAACACTTAATTGTGCTCATGAGGAATCTACCTGAACCAAAAAGCAGTTGTTCAAACAGAACATGGGAACACTGAATGGGTTTAAAATTAAAAAATGGTGTGTGACAAGGTTGTATTCTTTCACCATACTTATTCAACTTGTATGCTGAGCAAATAATCTGAGAAGCTGGGTTATTTGAAGAAAGACGTGGCATCCGGATTGGAGGAGGAATCATTAACAACTTGCGATAAACAGATGATACAACCTTGCTTGCTGAAAGTGAAGAGGACTTAAAACATTTACTGATGAAGATGAAAAAGCACAGCCTTCGGTATGGATTACATCTCAATGTAAATTAAACAAAAATCCTCACCACTGGACAAATAAATAACATTCTTATCAATGGAGAAAAGATTGACTCAGTTCCTCTCTTTCCATGAATCTAGAGTCCTCAGCTGCTCCCTCTCTCCATGTTCCTATCTCTGCCTCAATCTCTGGTTTCGCTGCTTCCCTGGATAGAGTCCCACCCTCTGCTTGCGGTCTTCTCCCTTCATGGTCCTAGGGTCCTCTGTTCCTGGACTGTAAGATCAACTACTGCCCCGTTTTTGTTACAAAACTTCTACCTTTACAGTTGTGACAGTTGCAATTAGTCATGCTAACAATTACTGTTGAATCATAAGAATCTTATCCCCATCTCCTTTCACCAGACCCATCTAGACAAAATGAAAACTATTCAGTGGGGACTCTCTTCCTGCACACACTCTGAAACTAAACTCTCTCTTGAAAACTTGTAAGCCAGTCACTTTGTGCCTTTATAGCCTCCCCATTTAGCAGCCAACGGCTAAGTTGCCCATCCCTGTTAACTCTGTATACAGAGCAGATAGGATTGGTCCTTGATGTGAAGATTCCTTCCCTCTCAGTTGGTATTTTGAGCTATTACATCCATATGTATATGTCAAGTTCATCAAACTATAGCAATTGACATTTGCTTCCTTTACCAATTTTTTTTTTTCATATCTTCCTCTAGTGGAGTTCTGATCATCAAGCCATCAAAGCTAGGTCAAATGGGTACTATCTACAAGTCTGGGCATTCTTGTGCATCTCCCCTCACTTCATATCAGCTGGACACTTCACTCTCAGCTCTAGCCCTCCATGGCTATGTTGTTGTCCATGGGCTCAGGCTAGACTGTAATCTTTGTGGAAGTAGATCTAGTCTTTCTCCTTCAGAGCCCCTGGGTGCCAACCAACTGCTATCTATACCTCTTGGTTTTCAGTTGAGCCCTAAGCCATTTTACAACCAGAGCTCCTTCAAAGAGAGCTACTGGCATGTGTAAATCTGTGGCTAATTCAGCTTTCTTTATTGGATTGGGAGTTGCCCAGACTCAAGGTCGACACTTAGTCTTATCTTTTCTTCCACCTTCTGGAACAAGACATTGTCCCTGATGCCTTGGTACCTCCATTAACACCAAGGAAAGAGTAACACAGAAATTTCACTGTTAGTTGTTGGGGGGGTTTTGTGGTTGTTTTTCCTGGTTTTGTTTTGTTTTTATTTTATTACAAAAGAATGAAGCCCAAGGCTCTATCTACTTAACATTAATCTATTCAACAACTTCACTGCTCAGCTCCCCAGAAGGGTGACTTGTGCCTGTGGAGAAAAAGACTTTTTGCCTCAAAGATAAACATAGGAGACCTTAACATGCTCATCACCCGGACCAGATCCTCTCAATTCCTTCTAGGCCTCTGCTGTGAAAATCCCCACAGAGCCAGTAGGGCATTCTGGAAAACGGAATACATAAGGCTGCAGGTCCCCTGACTGTCCTCTCCAGGGTTTCTTGATTCTTGGCTCAGGAGAAGAACTAAGGCAAGCAGTTTTTGAACTGGGGTGGTGGTGGGGAGAGCAAGGGTGGAGGGAAAGAGAAGAGGTTTTCTTTGGGCCAACTACAACCAATTCGTTCTCTCTGAACAACAAAACCCAGACAGTGAAATTATCTGGTTAATTTGGCATTTTGTTGGGACACAGTGTCCAAAAATGTGAGTCTAGCTCAGACTAAACAGTGGCTTCCGTCCTAAGGCTTTTCCCAAGTGCTAGAAGACACGTGAAATTCCTGGAGGAGGGGGCGCTGCTTATGTGAACCACCCATTAATCCAGATGGGCAAAAACAAAGGATTCAGACTCTAAATAGGTTTGGGAAGATACTCCAAATAGGTAGGGGGCCTAAAAATGATGTGCTAATTGATCTCCTGGCTAATTCACCTTCCAGCTTCTTACAGGGCAATGGCTGGAGATCAAGATGACTCTAAATTAGCCAAGATTCTTCCTGATGTTTGTAGCCTTCATGGATATCCCAGAATTTCTGGGTGTTATTCCTTCTGTTGTTGCTGCTCCTAGATTTTGCACCCACAAGTTTAACCAGTGGCAGCTCTGAGATAAAAGGAGGAAAATAATTCCTGCTTTGGGGTTGCCACCAATGAATATGGCAGGATTAGCTCAGTTGGCAACCAAGCATTTACCAAATGGTTTATGGAAAACTCAGATTTTTGAGGGAAGAGAAAGGGGCAGCGATTTGTCACCCTTGGAAACTGTTGAGCAGGCTGGAATCCATGGAACCTATCAGTTATTCACTCTACAAACATGTGCTTTCATTCAACTCTGGGCCAGACCCTGTGCTACTTAACAGGGTGAGATCTAAGATCCAGGCAGAAAAGATTAAATACATATCTACTCTCATCTCAAATATATGATTAAACAATCAGATAAGGGATAGAAAGGAGATGATGGGGTGCTATGAATAGAAATAATCAGGTTAGCAGACTTAGATTGGAGTGGAGATGCTCAGAGCCTTTGCAGAAGAGATTCTAAAGCTAAGAATTATAGGATCCAATTTGCATTTTATAAAGCTCCTACTGGCTTTAGTCTGAAGAATGAAGTGGAGATGGGGAAGGAAGTTGTGAAATGGATGAGAGTTTATGGTGGGGTTGGAGGGCAGTGGACAGACCCTGGAGTAAGGGATGGGGAGGTCACAGGATTTGGGAACTCAATTGGTATAATGGCAGAGGGAAAAGGAAGTATCTAAGAGAATTGTACAGGTTTCCAACTAACACAAAAGGTGGTCCTCTTGACTAAGAAGAGAAACAGAGGAGGAGGAGTGGGTTGGGGGAAGGGAGGGTGATTTCTCTTGTCTTGAACTCAATCAATCTGTACTCCTCACCAATCCATGCCCTGCACTTCCAGTCTCCTTGATTATAGAATACCCGATCACATTTGTTTCATGCCATTGCTTCCACATGGTGAGACTCTTTCCTGTTCCCTGAAGCCACTTCTATGCTAAGTTGGGATCTCTCTTACCTGACCACCCACCTGTACTGGAGTTCTGTCAAGACTTACCTCGTCTTCCTTACTAGACTGCAAGGTTTGAGGGACAGGACCTCGGCGTCAGTATCCTTATTACCCACACATCAGTCAGCTAGCATCATAGACACTTGGCAAATATTTGTTAAACGAATAAAAATAACCTTCCCTTTGCCATGGAAGGAAAACCAATAGACATTGGGTAGCCTTAAAAGCCACAGGCTCCAATTTAAATTCAAACTGTCGGCATTTTAATATTAAGTCAACTCAGCTTGATGCTCAGACGACCTTTCTGTTCCTCCAACATGGCAGAACTGAGCAGACTGCTGGGTTCAGAGCCGTCACGCCACCCACTTTTACTGATTTTTTAAAAATAGAACTTCTCAGTTATTCTTATCATAAGGCCCTATTTTATTAATTGCCATCGAAGATGAGGAGGATAAACAGATAGCATTTACTAAGTGCTTGGCACATGCCAGGCACTCTTTGAAGTAATTTTCATAGATTAACTCATTTGTTTCTTCAAGTAGCCATGTGAAGTTATTATCTCAATTGTAGCCAGAGTACATCGAGCTGGAGAAAGCATAAGTCTGTACAACCAAGGTCACAGAGTTACGTTAATAAGGGATGGCAGAGGAATTGTATCATAGCGTCAGACTTCTGAAGCCTTTGCTCTGACATGGATACTAAGACTTAGAAAAGGACTTGGCATACAGTAGGGCCTCAACAAGTGTCCACTGAGATCTGGAATCACGAGGCCATACTTTCTAGGTGGAACTACTGTGTAGTCTTGAGCGAGTCTTTGTTTCATTCCTCACAAAATGACAGTCCTGAATATTGATTTTAACAATAGTAGCAAGGAGTCCTGGTGTGGCAATGTGGGTTAACGCACTGGACTGCAAAGTTGATTTGAACTGCAAGGTTGGTGGTTGAAGCTCACCAGTCATTCCTTGGAACCCTTATATAGTGTGGCTATGAGTTGGCACTTAACAACAACAACAAGATCTCGTATTCACACTTTTTGTCTCTTTTAAAGTTGTAAATCTCTTAATCACAACAAGGAAACTGAGGCATACAAAGATTAAACTCACCTGTCCAACAACTAGCAAAAGAAAGATTCAGGATTCAAGCTCATTCAGCATCCCAGCCATGATCTTTGGTCTCAAGGAGATGCCTCAGGGACCATAAGACAAGATGGAACAGAGAAAGCAAACAGACGTGTGAGCAAGCCCATGCCTCTTTCCACCAGAGCACTGCCACTTGCCTCTGTTTTGGAGAATGGGCTTCTACCTGAGGTTTCCTTTGAAGAAAGGTTTTGTTGTTACAACAAAAAGGTTGAAACTGTTGGATCAAATAATTCTGGAATTTGATGAGATTATAGGGCATGAGCCAAGGAGGCCCTGGACCAGGATTTCTCTGGTAATTTTAGCTCATGACGGTCACTTAAGATGGGGGCCAAGGTTGCTCCTAGAAATGTTCCCAGCTCAAGAGAAGGTCCAGGTGAGAGCATGAAGACACGGGTTCCCACCTACCTGCTCCACTCGGATCTCAATTTCTCCATTCACTTTCTTTCCATGGAAATATTTCGCCCTGTAATGGAGAATAAGAAATCTACTGAGTAAAGATACAGAATGGCTTGCATTTTTGTCCCCTTCTCCCCCTATGTCTAACTCCCACAGGTGCATGCGCAGATACACTTCCTATCTTCCCTCTCTCGCCTTGACTGCTGGTAGGCAGTGCTGGGCCAGGGGTTTGGAGAACTCACTTCACTTCACTTCCTATATCTATTTTATCCTCTTCACAATGAGGACATTATTACCAGTCCTATATATTTCGGGTGTGATGCTGAGGGTTAATGCGCTGTATTACAAGGTTGGTTTGAATTGCATGATTGGCAGTTCAAGCTCACCTGCCACTATTGGAAACCCTACACAGGGTCATTATGAGTTGGAACTGACTCGACTTAACAACATTTAACAACAACAACATACATTTCTGAAGGTTATTTTAAGGATTATTTGAGATAAAGAATGCTATATAAATATGTCAGTTTGTCGTACTGTGGTGGCTTGTGTGATCCTGTGATTCTGGAAGCTGTGCCATGGGTATTTTAAATATCACCCACGCTGGACAGGTTTTACCTGAGCTTCCAGATGAAGACAGATTGGGAAGAAGGAGAGATGGACTACTTCCTAATATTTAGTCACTGAAAACCTTATGAATATCAGTGGAACATTGTCAGTACCAGATTATTAGATACTGACACATGATGCAGAGCACCAGAATATTGTCAGATATAGTACTGGAAGATGAGGCCCTCAGTTTGAAAAGCACTCAAAATGTGACTGAGGAAGAGCTGCCTCCTTAAAGTAGAGTTGACCATGATGATGTAAATGAAGGAAATCTCTCAGGTCCTTCATTTGCTGATGGAGCACAACTCAAAGTGAACATAAACAGCTGTAAACATCCATTAATAATCAGAACATGGAATGTATGAAGTATGAATATAGGAAAATTGGAAATTGTTAAAAATCAAATGGAACATATAAACAGCCATACCCTACACATTAGCGAGTTGATATGGACTGGTATTGGCCATTTTGAATTTGACAATCAAATGGTTTACTATGCCAGGAATGACAAATTGAAAATGAATGGGATCATATTCATCATCAGAACGAACATATCACGATCAATCATGAAGTACAACACTGTCTGTGATAGGATTGTGATACACCTACAAGGAAGACCAGTTAATACCACTATTATTCAAATTTATGCACCAACCCCTAAAGCCAGTGAGGATGAAATTGAAGAATTCTATCAACTTCTTCAGTCTGAAATTGATCAAACATGCAATCAAGATGTACTGACAGTTACTAGTGATTGGAATGCAAAGGTTGGAAACAAAGAGGGAGAAGGATCAGTAGTTGGAAAATATGGCATTGGTGACAGAAACGATGCTGGAGATCACATGATCGAATTTTGTAAGACCAATGAATGCTTCATTGCAAATACATTTTTAAAACAACATAAAATATGATTATACACATGGATCTCAGCAGGTGGAATACACAGAAATCAAATTGACTACATCTGTGTAAAGAGATGGTGGAAAAGCTCCATATCATCAGCCAAAACAAGACCAGGAGCAGACAGACTGTGGAACAGACCATCAATTGCTCATATGCAAATTCAGATTGAAGCTGAAGAAAATGAAAACAAGTCCAGGAGAATCAAAATATGACCTTGAATATATCCCACCTAAATTTAGAGATCATCTGAAGAACAGATTCGAAGCATTAGGCACTAAAGACCAAAAACCAGAAGAATTGTGGAATGACATCAAGAACATCATACATGAAGAAAGCAAAAGGTCATTGAGAAGACAAGAAAGAAGGGAAGGACCAAAAGGATGTCAGAAGAGACTCTGAAACTTGCTCTCCAGCATAGAGAGGCTAAAGCAAGTACAAAAAATGAGGAAGTACAAGAGCTGAACAGAACATTTCAAAGGTCAGATCAAAACGACAAAGTCAAATATTATAACTAAATGTGCAAAGACCTGAAGTTAGAAATCCAAAAGGGAAGAACATGCACAGCATTTCGCAAGCTGATGGAATTGAAGAAAAAATTCAAACTTTGACTTGCAGTATTGAAGGATTCAATGGGCAAAATATGAATGATGCAGAAAGCATCAAAAGAAGATGGAAGAAATACATAGAATCACTGTACCAAAAAGAAGTGGTTGATGTTCAACCATTTCAAGAGGTAGCATATGATCTAGAGCAGATGATCATGGAGGAAAAAGTCCAAGGTGCATTGAAGGAATTGGCAAAGAACAAGGCACTACTCACGGAAGCAGCAGTCAAGAAATCAAGAGACATATTGCATTAGGCAAGTCTGCTGCACAAGACCTTTTTAAAGTGTTGAAGAGCAGAGATGTCAGCTTGAGGATTAAGGTGAGCCTGACCCAAGTAAGCCATGCTATTTTCAATAACCTCATATGCATGTAAAAGTTGGACAGTGAATAAGGAAGACCGTAGAAGAATTGATGCATTTGAGTTATGGTGTTGGAGGAGAATATTGAAAGTACCATAGACTGCCAAAATAACAAATAGATCTGTTTTGGAGGAACAGCCAGAATGTTCCTTGGAAGCCAGGATGGCCAGACTTTGTCTCAAGTACTTTGGGCATATTATCAGGAGGGATCAGTCCCTGGAGGAGGATACCATGTTTGGTAAAGTGCAGGGTCAGAGAAAAAGAAGGAGGAGATGGATTGTGAGATGGACTGGCACAGTGGCAGCAGCAATGGGCTCAACTGTAGCAACGATTGTGTTTGGCCCAGGACTGGGCAGTGTTTCATTCTGTTGTACGTAGGGTAGCTATATGATTTTGTACCAACTCAATGGCACCCAACAAGCACAACAAAAATCCTACAAATAGCAACAATCCTATAAAGAAGGAAACTGAAATCCAGGGAGACTGAAACTTTACCTAAGGCACTTGAATCCAGGCCTTCTAATTCCTAAACTGTGCTACTAAAAAGCAGCTGCTACAGTTGGGATGGAATCCTGGTGTGGTGCTGTGGGTTAATACACCAGACTGCAAATCCGTTTGAACTGCAAGGTCAGTGGTTCAAGCTCACCAGTTGCTCCTCAGAAACTCTATAAAGGGTCGCTATGGGTCGGAATTGACTCGACGGCACTTGAAGACAACAACAACAACAACAACAAAGTTGGGATATCCTCCTCCAGCAACTGGTCCTTCCTGGCACTTTCAATATTCTCCTGAGGTTGGCCCAGGATCGGGCAGTGTTTTGTTCTGCTGTGCATAATGTCGCTATGAGACGGTACCGACTCGATGGCACCTAACAACAACAACAACAAAGTTGGGATATCCCTGAGTTAGATGTCCTTCCACGCACAAAGCAAAAGCAAGGATCCTTTCCATTTGCTTTTCTGATTGTTGTTATAATGAAACGAATAGTTTTCAGTGACGTACATGGGGGATCGTGGTAGAAACTTTCATCAACCTTCTCTGGAGCAGTGTTCCCAATATCCACTCTCTAGTCTTTCACACTAAGGGAATTTATAGCTAGGCATGTGAAACGGGATTTCCCAAACCTCCCTTGCAGGTAGGTGTGGCCACATGACCAGGTTCTTGATCAATTAGACACAGATTAGCATTGCATTAGGCAGAAGCTCCCACAACCTCCTTCATAGTACCCTCTTCTCTTCTTCTCTATAGAACATAGATGTTGCCAACTATTTCTTTCAACTTTCTACTTGTGAAAGAAAGAATTCTTTTTATAAACTCTCTGACTAATCTTCCATGTGTCTGCATTCAAACTCCCTCTTTCCCAAGACTGCCCAAACCACGGACTGACAGACCCATGTTAAAGCCATTTTTCTTTCAAAACTGACAGGTTTATCAACAAGGCACGACTTTCATGGGGCAGGAAGTATTTAGCGTGACTTGAAAGCAAAGTGTCATTTATTTATTTATCCTCTCAGAGATGGCCTTCGATAAAATGTGTGCAGCCAGTTTTGTACAATGAGAAACTTTGCATGTAGTTTGTGAATTGGATCATGAATTCTTAAAGGTAGTGTTTGCAAACTCCAATCACTGGAGCAAGCTTGTCCTTACATTTTTAAGGGCTGAGGCAAAAGAACAAATGGAGGTGTACATCTAAATATTTAAAAGTAATAAAGCTTTAAATAATACATGTCTGTCCTCATTCCTTGGCAAATACAACCCAATAACAACCTGGAAAGCTCAGAATGTAAATTTCTCAGAATCTGAGCGTGTCACCCTAGAACGTGGCAGCATGGACATTCCTAGCTCGTGGTCCCAGCCCTAACTTGTGGCCTTTCCTAATCATCCTCATGCCTGTCCTACTGGGGATTAGGGTCAGGCACATGAATAACCCAGCCCATATGGCCAAGTTTCACTCACCCCATACACAGACAACCCTCCATCCCTGGGGATAGTCCTAGACATTGGGTAATGCAGGCCACTGTATTGGGTCCTGGCCCATCTAGTCCAGGAATTCTACGACTCTGAATCCCCAGAGGAAGTCCTATGGGGTCAATTTGCAGGGTCCTGGTGACGCCTTGCCTGTCAGGAGGCGTATAGCTAGTGAAGGCCAGGGTAGGACCCAAAAAAGAGGTCTTTCTAGCTTGGGTTAAGGAATGTACTGGGTAGACCTAGAATGTCAAGATAGCAAATAATAATCAAATGTCACTGGTATAATGGGACCCCCCCACACACACACACACACAAATTTGGAATCATATAGACTTAGGTAAATATCCTAGCTCTTCTATTTACTCACCATGTGATCTAAGACATGTGATGTTCACTCCTCTAGGTCTCAGTTTCCTTATTTGCCAACTGGTGATGGTAATACCAAGAAGGCCAGGTTGTGGTGAGAAAGGCATGTGGTAATCTAAACAATGAGGTCATCCAGCCTCTACCCCTCATGCACTGGGGACAAATCACTCAACCACTGGGTGACTCGACTTCCACATCTGTGAAATGGGAAGTATAACAGTAGAAACGACTTCATAGGGCCATTGGGATAATCAAGT